ACTTGCACTGTGCATTGAAGCAAACATTCTTTTTAACCTTGGTATTATAGGAAGATAAAACATGGATTTTACTGCTACACGCTTTTGCTTGCTGTTAACGGCTCTACTGCGAACTTGATATCTTGGACTATTACAAAACTTACACTCCTCTAACGATCCATCTTGAGTACCAAACTCATTGTCATAAAACAACATGCAACCGTTAATGCAACAGTCAATCTTTCTTACTTTTAAACCCAACTTCGACACCCACTTCTTTGCATCATAATAACTTGTAGGCAAATTGTCTTTCGTAGCGGTGGAGTCCAACATCATTTTTGCAAAATGTTCCAGACATTGATCAGAAACATTCCAATTTGACTTGGCGGCCAATAATCTCACACACATTGATAGCTTCGAGTCTGATGACCCCTCAAACAACGGCGTATTCATCTCGTTCAATAATTGATAAAATCTTTGCGCTTCCTCATTCGGCAACTCTTCCCCGTCAAAATCTTCAGGTTCATCATATGTCACGTTCACACCAAAAGCATCCTCAACCATGTCACCGATCAAATTAAAGTTCTCCTCATACTCCATAACCGGTCGACTACTTGAAGCATGCGTGTTGCTAGTCTCTGGTACATTAACCGGTAGTTCTTCACCATTATACGTCCAAACCCAATAATTTTCAATGAATCCCCTTCTATGCAGATGACGTGTTACTTCCTCTGGGTCACTAATTATTGGTCTACATTCACACTTAAGACAGGGACACCTAACCCCTCCTTCGCTTCGACAACAATCCTGAGCAAACGCCCACTTAATAAACCCATCAACTCCTACTATAAAATTGGGTTTAAGTCCACTTCTTCCTGGATATGTTCTATCATACATCCAACTGCGATAATACCGATAATATTCCATACTGCACATTTATACAATCATTGTCTTTTTCATTAGAAATATTAATCAACTTAATAATATTATTCTTAAACTATTTAATACTATTCTTAAAAATATAAATTTTGCTTTTTTATATATATACTAACATATAAATAAATATTCAAATGTAAAATATATAATTTTTTATTACATAACAATAATATCAAAAAACAATAATATAACATATTTACTTTTTATTATATATACAACAATAATATTAGAAAACAAATAATGTAACATATATACTTTTTATTATATATATAACAATAATATTAAAATAATAATATAATATATATATTCTTTTTTTAATTATGTTTTTTATAAATTCTTATTTTAATATATAATTTTTTTTCCATATCTTTAACATATAAATAAAAAAATAAAACTATTATAATAAATATAATATACATCTATAAAAAATATGTTATTAAATTTATGTGTTAACATATATATATATATATATATATATATATATATATATATATATATATATATATATATATATATATATATATATATATATATATATATATATATATATATATATATATATATATATATATATATATATATATATATATATATATATATATATATATATATATATATATATATATATATATATATATATATATATATATATATATATATATACATCTATAAATTTTTTTTTTTTAATTTTATGTTTTCTAAAATTTTTTATTATCAGTACATATATATATACTACTAACAAAATACATATATACTTCCTAACCACAAAATACATATACAAATCTAATCTATATAATACATATAAAATCTATAAAAAAATGCATAAATACCTCTATATAATTTCTTCAATAAATTTGCGTCTTCTTGGATAGTTCTTGGTGTTCTTCAAATTTCTCTACAAATAATAATGAACAAACGAACAAATACCATTTTTAATATTTCATTCCAGTATAATAAATAATGAACAAACGAAATAAACATTTATCAAAATATGAATACCTTATTTTTCTTCAACAAATTGGGATGGAGGAAATTTGATTCGGGAAATTGGGTTTGAGAGGAAGAATTATGGGTTTGTGAGGAAGAAGCTGTAAAAATGGGTTTGAGAGGAGCAAGGAAGAAGAAAGCACGCTTCTGTAAAAATGAAAATTTTGAACATGTAACTTCTAGTAGCGACGTGACTGTCACGTCGCAACGTTGCCACGTGATAATCACGTCGCTACAAACTAAACATAAATATTATTCTCTCTCCAACCCTGCAACTCTGTCATCAGCGAAATTTATTTTCCCCCAAAAAATATAGCGACGTGGCTATCACGTCGCTACCAAAATTCAAATTTCCCCCTGAAAACCGTTCACAAATTTGCATTATATGTCATTAAAATATATTAGCGACGTGGTTATCACGTCGCTACTACCCACGTGATAAGCACGTCGCTAATATATGTCGCTGAAGACATATATTCTTATAGTGTAACCTGGCATAGACACACCTCCAAACAAAATCTTTACTTTTGAGGGATTCACGCCTTCCATATAACACCAAATGCTTTCTTGGACCTATCATCTACCGCACCTTCAACCGAAACCTGTAACATTATTGTATAACACGACCAAACCGAGAAATTATTCTGCAAACCAAGGGGCCAGACAAAATAATCCGGAGCAGTTGGCCATGGTTCAATATCTACCGGTTGGCGTTGGCCTTGGCTTTACAACGACATTAAAAATCTTTATCATAATTAATATTTTTACAAGAAATTTTATTGCCTAATATTATGATAGAACATAATCACTATAGTTGTTACAAAATTAGACTTCAGTTTATTTTGGATTAATAACTTCTCTTTTGTTCAATCCTTTCTTACATGTAAGAATTATTTTTGAAAAAATGATATCACATCAAGATAACCTTTAACACAACACATCACATTTTTTAACATTACAAAATCTGATGTACTTTTGCTTCTTTTTGTTTTAGATTTAACTTGATTTATGTGATTGAAAAATAATGGATATGATTCGTGTCATATATGAATATCATAAGTATATTACACGCGCATGATTGTAAACAATGATTCTCATATATATATATATATATATATATATATATATATATATATATATATATATATATATATATATATATATATATATATATATATATATATATATATATGAACAATTTTTTAAAAATAAAATACATGATTTTTGGTTGGCCTTAACTTATTTCTTAATTACCCCTCAAGTTCTATTAAAATAACTGTAATTTTTAATGAAATTTAAAAATAAAAAAACTTTAAATGCAACAAAATACTGTTTTATAAAACAAAATACTGCAGCTTGTGGCAGTTTATTTCTTTCTCTTAAATATTTAAAACTCAGTTTGTGTGTCATTGCCCAAAGTGCAAAAAAAATTGGTAGATTTTATCTTTCGTCTCTCCTTCTTTATATGTATGCTTCTTATTTTACATCGTCACATATTTTCTATATCTTGTGTAACAATTACGTATAATAGTTATGAGGTTAAAAGTAGTGTAGTGTAAAATAACAGTATGACTTGACAGAATATATGGTTGTAATTAGTTGACAATATAAAAATATTTTACACGATCCGTGCATATCATTTTTTATCAGTAGTTATTGTCTTTTTTATGTTAATGTAATCATGCTTTATTTCAAAATCAACCATAATCTTAACTATTATATATGTAATTATTATTCATTCTCCTAATTTCTCTCTAATTTTTTTGTTCATGTACTCTAACAATATGATTTGATTAATATGAAAATCATGAAATATTAATTAACTTCCATGATGATATGCTTTGATTAAAATCATGAAATATTAATTATCTTCCATATTAGAAAGCTTTGTTTTTTTTGTTAATATTTTATATGATTATAGTTTTCTATCATTTAAAAGTGGTTCAGATTATATATTTTACTGACAAATTATTCATAAATTTTGACTTTTTAAATTTATATTCATAAATATATTGGTGCAAACAACACAAAAAGAGCGTATAGAAAATATCTGTAATAATGTAAGAAATGTCTTACAGTTTGGGTTTAATCAGAATTACAATATTGTGTAGTATTTCAATCTAAATTACTTTATAATGTATTTTAATTTTTTATTCTTTTATTTGTTTTTAATATTACTTCTCGTATGAAGGTGAAATTGTGAGCACATTGGACCATTAAAGAAAGATATCACCAATAAGAAATAACTACACATAAATGATGCAGCAAGAAGAAGAAATATCCTATAAGAAGGGATGACTTCATTCTTCCAATCATAAAGATATTTTATTCTCACTTTCTTTTTTATAAGTTGATGGGAAGAGTTTGAGTACTAATATCAATGAAACAATGCAGTAAAACACTATTTCATTTTGAAGGATTCCAATTCAACAAAAATATGTGAATGTGTCTCAATTTTAAAATAATTATTATGTCAAATAAGAATATTTATCTATAACTTGTATATATATTATAAAGCATCTCTCAATTGCAATTTCAACATAATATAAAACTATTAATGTGTGTATTTTCAAGAGTTTCTCGAATTTCTAAAACACTCAAAAAATTTGAATTCCAAAAACAAAAAAAAAAAAGAAAAAGCATTCGTTGTCTCTTTAAATTTTTCAATAAGATTCATAATTCTTCTCCATGTCTTCGACTTTAAATTCTAAAAATTGTGAAAATTAGAATTGTTAGTATTTTCACGACAAATACAACTCTCTTAGTCTAGATTTGGACATTAGTCAAGTTGTCCAGTTGTAAAGGTAATTACATCTTTAGCTTGTTCACATTTCTTCGCAAATGTTTTAACATCTATCGTTTTAGTCTATATTGAACAATGAAATGACTTAACTTTGATTTAGTAAAAATAAAACACAAAACAAGCAATTAAACAAGGAAACACACGATCCACACATTACTCATTTATTGATATGCTTAAGCTACATCATGCTCATGCACGCATATTTTTTTTTATCAAACAAGCCTATAAACTTGTCTAATAATTTATCAAACAAGCATATGAACTTTGCATTTATTCCATTACACAGTCCTCATGCCTAATTTGCAGTAACAAAAGGGTTTGGGATATTTTTAAGAATTGGTCGTCCCATAAGCTTTTCAATCATGTTCTTCTTTTGAAGAAACTGCTTTATTTTGTACAAAGTCTCAGCCAATTTCTCAAGAGCCTCAGCATTTGTACCTTGGTTTGTTTTTACCTCTAGCTCATAGATATCCACATTCATCTTCAAAACTGGTTTTTTCAGAAGGCTCTCTCCTACCTTTTCAAGGTTTTCAATGCACATTAAAATCCTTATTACATGTTTTTCACATATTTTTGGCTAATTGTGAGTATGAGAATATATGGTTGCTAGCTAGTATATGACATTGCCCACCACGTTATAATATCACGGATCTTTGTAGTTGTATATGCTATCACCATTCATCTTTCAATTATTTGTCTCTTCTTGCATTCTAAACAATTTAGAACGTGATTAATTGATGTTACTTTTGAGGTCCCAATGATAAAGGAGTATTAGGGGTGGACAGGATTTTTCAAATCCATCCAAACTGTCCGATCCAACAGACCTATCGGATCATTTGGGTTGACAAAAGTGAATATTAATAGATATTTAATTTAATAAATAATTCTCAGTAATTAATAATAATAATAATAATAGTAAATAATAATAACTAATAATGATAAAAAAATCATAAAAATACAATAAAGTTGAAATAATAATATAAATATAAATATTTTATTTATTTTGGGTGATGACATCTACCTCGGTTGTTAGCTATCTTGGTTGTTGATTTGGACTCTCAAATTTAGATTGAAACAGTATAGAACAACTATTCAAATTTAGATTGAAACATGTTGGTGCAAAATAATGAAGTGACAGAAGAAGAATGAACAAAGAATAATATCAAAAGACTATTGTATATCAAAATAGAGGAGATAAAAGTAGGGTACAATATTGATAGCCTAAGATAACATATTTATATTAAATATTGAAAATGCCAAAATACTCTATTAAAAGATAAGCATTGGAAATTGTAGAAATTAACTAAATTATCTTTTTCAATACCATCCCTTAATTTAGATTTTCTATCAGAAGCTAACAACATCAATTTCATCTCTCAAGCGAAGAAATTGGTCTGTCTTAATTGCCTTCGTCAGAAGATCTGCTAACTGTTTCTGGGTGCTGCAGTGCAGAACTTCTAACACTCCTTTCTGCACTTGACTTCTGAGAAAATGATATTTCGTCTCAATGTGCTTGCTTCTTTCATGTAGCACTGGATTCTTGGCAAGATCAATTGCAGACTTATTATCAATCATCAGCTTCAGAGGTTTCTCAACTTCAACCTTCAGATCATGCAAGAGATTCAGAAGCCAAACAGCTTGACAAGCAGCTACAACACCTGCGATATACTCAGCTTCACATGTTGACAGAGCCACGACAAGCTGTTTCTTGGAACTCCAGGAAATGGGACCTCCCAGAAATTTAAACAAGTATCCAGAAGTACTTCTCCTGTCCACTCTGTCTCCACACCAGTCAGAATCATAATAACTTACTAATTTTGGTTATGTCTTTCTTTCAGAAGAAAACAACACTCCATATTTCAGAGTTCCCTTGATATATCTCAGAATTCTGACAGCAACATGGAAATAAGACCACTTTATATTACTCATGAATCTGCTAACAATCCAACTGCATAACAAATGTCAGGTCTAGTATTGCATAAATACCTTAGAGAACCAACCAACTGTTTGAAGGTTGTAGTATCAACAGAATCACCATCAGAGTCAGAATCCAATTTTTGATTGATTTCTGATGGTGTCAGGACAACTTTACATTTCTGCAGCTTAAATCTCTTCAGAAGTTCAAGTTCGTACTTCAACTGATGTAGAATGATACCCTTCTTTGAGTACAGAATCTCCATCCCTAGGAAATATATTTCCTAGATCTGTCATCTCGAACTCATTCATCAGAACTTATTTGAACTTCTTTATATCTTCTGGGCAGCTTCCTATTAGCAAAATATCATCAACATAGAGACACACCAGAATCATATTGTAATCAGAGTGTTGCACATAAATGCCATATTCCATCTCACATTTCTAAAAATTCTGCTTCTTGAAAAACGAATCAATTTTCAGATTCCAATCTCTGGGCGCTTGCTTCAGTCCATACAGAGTTTTATTCAACTTGTATACCATCCCTTCCTGATTTATTTTCACAAAGCCAGGAGGTTGTAACACATAAACTTCTTCCTGTAATGGACCGTTAAGAAATGCAGACTTCACATCTAGATGCATCAAAGGCCAATTTCTATTTGCAGCTAAAGCAATCACCAATCTGATTGTTTCATACCTAGCTACAGGCACAAATACCTCAAAGTAATCTAGCCCAGGTTTCTGAAGAAAACCTCTAGCTACTAGTCTAGCTTTGTGCTTGTCAATTGAACCATCTGGCTTAAGCTTTAACTTAAAAACCCATTTGACACTGATGGCTTTTTTTTTAACTTGGTTACTCCCAAATTTAGATTGAAACAGTATAGAACAACTATTCAAATTTAGATCGAAACAAAGATTAGTACTACTCTAATTAAGCGAATTTTGATTTACCTTTTTATAAATAAAAAATTGGATTATCCCTCTCTAATTAATTTTATTATTTGGTTTATCTCTCCAAGTGTATAAATTTAACACTAAATTTGGAGTAAATAAAAAAAATTTACATGGTGGTCATTTTTACACTTAGAGGACAAAAAAACATAAAATTTTAATATTTTAAAGGAATGATCTCATTTTTTTTCTTACATGGAATAAATCAAAACTCACCTAAGTAATATATTGCAGGGGATATTGTGTATACTGTAATACTAGTATTACATTAAGATGTAGATGTTGTTTGCATATTCCTGGCTACATCTGTTTGAGAATACTGCATTAGATGTTAATTATATTGCCATTATAAAAAGGTGTTAATTATAGTTATTTTTAAAGTGGGTGGATAAGCCAAACTAGTAGATTTATTATATTATTATTAATATTTGTTTTTATAGAGGATGATATCATCGTCCAATAATACAACAAACACATTTAAATTTAAATTATTTGTATTTAAAAATTATTTAGATATGGTGATGATGGACCTATAAATACCCTTCACATTTGGATGGAAAAATGCAAGATCTTCAAATTGAAGTGTTCTCTTTTGAAGCAAAATATAATGGCTAATAACTTTTTCCTTTTATTTGTATTTGTTTTTGCTAGTCAAGTGATTGGCGGATTGAATACAAAGCTACCACCTCCTTCCTATGGAAATACAGTAAGCATTCTTAGTATTGATGGAGGTGGGATTAAGGGAATTCTTCCAACTGTTATTCTTGAGTACTTGGAAAATGCTCTTCAGGTCAATCATTAAATTTTTCTTATGATTAAAACTCAATATTAAACAGATTCATGAAGTATAATATAATGAATAATTTTGATTTGGTTGATCAGAGTGTGTCAAGAGATGAAAAGGCAGCACTAGCAGACTATTTTGATGTGATAGCAGGAACAAGTACAGGAGGAATCATTACTGGATTGCTAACTACTCCTAACCCTAATGACACTTCACGTCCTTTATTTACTACTAAACAAATCTTACAATTCTACTTGGAATTTGGTCCTTCTATATTCAACCAAACTTATGCTATGTAATTATTCATTCATCTTAAAACACAAGAATGATATTTAGATTTCAGTAACATTATTTTTAATATGTTTTCTTTTTCTACTAAAAAATGCATGCAGTGGTTGGGATAATGATACTCCACATGCCAAGTTTGACGGCAAGTTCTTACATGAAAAGGCACATGAGCTTTTGCAAGAAACACGTCTGCATGATACATTGACCAATGTTGTAATTCCAACCTTTGATACCGTTGATTTACACCCAGTTATCTTCTCAAGCTTTAAGGTCAGCATTTTTGCATAACCATACTTAAATATTTTGGGACTTTTTGTGTGTAAAACTTTGTTTGTGCATGCAGCTAAAGACTGTTCCTAGCCTTGATGCAAAACTTTCTGATATATGTATTGGGACTTCAGCTTTCCCATCCCAACTACCACCGTATGCCTTTAAGAATGGTGATAAGGAATTCAATCTAGTTGATGGGGCTCTCACTGCAGCTGGCCCGGTAAATTCCAAACTTATGTTTCTCGATTCATGTTGATCAATGGATACACGCACATTCCATGACATGTTAATAATTTGTATATTCAGGCTTTGCTTGCAATAAGTGAAGTGATACAACAATTGAATGAGAAGAATTCTGATTTCATTCCAATAAAAGCAAACGAGCCCCTCAAAATCGTGTTGTTGTCACTAGGAACAGGAAGTAGTCCATCAGATTTAAAACTTCCTGCTTCTTTGGGACAGTTCCTTTCCTTTAATCAATGGGTACCCATATTAGCTGTTGGTTATGCTATATCTGCTGGACAAGTGAATGATTATCATCTTGAATCTGTGTTTCCAAGCGATTCATCTTCTTCCGACAATTACTACCTTCGAGTTCAGGTACATGCATGTACCAGTAGAGATTAGGGTTTAGGGTTTCGGTTTCTAACTAAAATTGGAAAGTTAAGAGATTCAAATTCTTTATAATTATATGCAGGAGTATAATTTGGATCCATCCATAGCTGCTGATGATACTAGTAAAGAAAACATGGAAAAACTTATAAAGGCAGGAGATGATTTGCTCCCACAGTCTGTTAAGGTTTTGAATGTAACTTCTTTTCTTCCATTCGAGAAACCAAGCGAGGGTACAAATGCTGAAGCTCTTGAAAGGTTTGTGCATTTTTAGTATTCATGTGATGCACCATGTGATGTGATCTTTCATTAATTTTCTTTTTCTTTTGAAAAATCTTAACATGATTTTTTTTTTTCTTTTTGAAGGTTGGCTGAAATTCTATACAATGAGAGGCAGGTGCGTTTGAAAAGAAAATCAATGGAAAAACAAAGACGACCCTTCATTGCTTCTGCTCTCCAGATGATTTGAATGGAATGAATATCAAGAAGATGCATTGTACTATATTGCAAGTTCTCTATCCACCATGGTGTGAAATAAATAAAATAATGGATATGTGTTTTTAATGTGTGTTTCTAGTTTGTTTTTTTCTTTCGAATGTATCAACTGCAACGGTGTGTGGCTTTGGTTTACTAGAATAAGAGTAAGGATTTGACTGCACTTTGAATTCCTTGTAATACTTATGCTTAAAAAAGGAATTTGGTCTTTTCCTTTATCATGTATG